ATACTGTTCAGGGAATAGCTTGGAGGTCGGTGAAATTAGTTTGAGAATAATACTGCAAGTCTGTGGTAACGTCCGTGTTTTCCTGGGAAAAAAATATAAAAAAATATGTTCTTACATAAGTAGACAAGGATTCTGATATGGCTGGACTTAGTATTTCTTAGACTACATGCACAGGTACTATGAAGTACTTTTACTGTGTACTTTTTGAGAAATACACTGTCAAAGTCCCTTATAAATCACTATAATGAGTCTTTTTTTCTGAGTTTGATGTCTTGTAAAAAAAAAGTTTTTCCATAAGTAGACAATGAATTCTGATATGGTTGGACTTAGTACTTCTTAGACTACATGCACCTGTACTATGAAGTACTTTCTGATATAATACAGCACAATATGAGCCTGTTATTTTCTCAAACCCTGAGGCCCTTTTCAAAAAACTGTTAATTCATCAAAAATTGTTCTACACATTTTTATAGGCCTACCTTTAACTTCATAAATACATGTCCTTTAACCTATTATTTGCCATCATAACCCACAACGTTACAATGTGTATTAATTATAAAGATTTTATATTTTAACAATAATTAAACTCATAAATAGACATTAGTTTTACCCTATATGTTCTGTTTAGCTTTTGAGTGTGTGAGTTTGTTTTTACACTTATTTTGACCCTTGACCCTTATTTTGACCTTGAAAATCAGAAAGCGTTAAACTCATAAACCCGCCTCTTCCTCTCCTTGTTGACGCGTTGAGGAGGTGATTTGCGCCGAGGACTTGACGGACGGAGAGGACTTCATGTGCGCAATTCGGCGGAGAGTTATTTTCTCAACAAGTTTGTAGAATATTTGCGTATAGGCTACCAGGTTTTTTCAAAGACCAATGTGGAATCAATGATGAAAAATCGTCAAGGGTAGGTTTATTCTAAATAGTTGATGTTAATGTTCAACAGAGTAGCAGATGACAGTTGTATGCTAACGCTTTTTTCACTTTTCAAAAACCAATGCTGACATATTTCTTGTCTTTTTGTATCCTGTAGAGGCAACATAACATATTAATGAAATGTTTCCAGCATACTACATATCTCTGAAAGATATGTTACAATGTATTTAGCTAAGTGTGAAGATATTGCGGGTGCTAAAGCGAACGCCATTTTAACGCAAAGGCTTGCTCCGAAATTTAGGGAAGCCATTGCATTCATCAAAGGAAAATAATGAGACACATGATCAGGGGAAACTATCTTGGTCGTCAAATGCATGATGTGTCTGTCTTTATTGTCCTACACGTAAAACCAGCAGGACATTTTGAAGTTGTCGTCTGCGGTTAATATTCCTGCATTCCTTGTGAGTCGACAAAAATCCAAGTTGTTTATTTAGGCTTTATGGCATTGAACTTTTTCAACAAAGTTCTCATGCACTGCTGTGCATTCCTGCAACAAGTCCAGTGAGCTGTCACATAACTCAATGACCCAATGATAATCCCATTATGATCTCTTTTATGTAGCCTATTGTTATTTTAACTTTTACTCGACTTGCGGGAACTCTATTTGGCCAGTGCATGCACTAAAGTGCCTGCTATGGATGAGTTTGATTTGAATCATGTCAAAGATGATGGTCTCAATCCTAGCTCATCCTAGCTGTTTATTATTAGCCCTTTATTAATGTATACCTTCTGGGTTTATGATTCTTTGTGTAGGTACGTATCTAACTCTTCTAAAAAAAATTAAGTCGGCTTTGTCTGTATTTAAGTGGATGAAGGTTTCTTGGCATATCAGTATCACAATTTCACTAATCATTTCTGGACCATGTTGTTAATACTTTGACTATTTTCGGCCAACTGAAGAATATTGCATTCACTGGAACTAGGCTTCAGCATTTCGTTAACAAAATGTAACATGAAGAATTTAATCTTTTAAGCATTTTTTTTGATTTACTGATTCACTTTGTTCACAGATTGTTTTCTTTCTCAACATTTGGGAAGGTGAGTGCTATTGTAATACTTGATATGTAAAAAAAAGTCTAACCAAAACATAATAATGACTATTTGTTTTTCTTGATTCTATAGTCCAGAAAATGTTTAAAAACTTTAGAAGAGATTCTTGCAAGCATCCAGAGGCTAAAAGACGAGGCCAATTTCCCGCTCACCCAAGAAAGCGCATGTGGAGAAGGGGCTTACGATTTAAGGATCCCCAATACACCAAACAACAGGATAAGACTTAAAAATGTTTATCTTCAACATAAACAGGTAATCAAAAATTACTTGTTTCCATTGTTTGTTCATAATTTAGTATGACATTTTTTCCCAGTTTAAAATTTGCATGTTACAGCTCTGGTATGTTTCATTTTTTAAACCTGCTTTAAAACCTTTTAAAATGTAAGGAATAAATAAATACATGATTTTAAATGATGACACACATTACATCACACATTAAACTTTGTTGTTTATGGTGGGGGCTTATTTGCGTATTTGCACCCAGGATATAAGAACAGATGCACCGATTGCTGAATCTCAACAGTCCTTGGGTTTAGATTCAGAAAGCTCTGTTCCTCTGCCTGAGGATTTACCAGATGTGGTCCCAGCAGGTACAATAAATAAGACAGACTTAGACTCATCTAGCTGTGAGTTCCTCTGTTCCCAAAACAATGAAGCAACTGCTGAAGATACGGAAAGCGTCCAAGACTCTGACTCTGCTAGCATTGTGTCCCTGCTGGATGCCAGCAGATGCAGGACCCTTTCATCCTCAAACCACTCTGAATCCTCCTCAGTGGATGACAGCCCAGAGGTACATAAGAAAAAGGTATAATTATTTGTATTGTATAGAGTACCCATTGTGGAGTCCTTCTCAATGTTCTAAATTTGTCTCTTTTTTTAACAGCAAATATAAATGTTATATATTATCTTGTATGAAGCAGTTTTGCTCTGTGTAGCTGAAGGATGGACTGGACAATCAGACAATTTAAATTGTTAGCTTTATTTATATATCATTGAACAAACTTTATTTTTTTAAACAATTTTGACTGCCACAAATGTATTTGTATGAATTACATTGTTATGCTATCCAGCTTCTAATCGTCATTTTCAATCTGTGTTCGCAGAAGACAAGTCCCTCCACCACATATATTTGTGATATAAAAAACGAAGATTATCAGGCAACTTGTGAGTTGCCTGATAATCTTCGTTTTTTTTTCCATTTCTAACGCTGACTGGTTTCAACTAAGAAAAACACAGTACAAAAGGCAATTTAAAACATTGCATTGGACAGTCAGAACAAAAGACTCATTATAGTGACTTGTAAGGGACTTTGACAGTGGATTTCTCAAAAAGTACACAGTAAAAGTACTTCATAGTACCTGTGCATGTAGTCTAAGAAGTACTTAACCCAGCCATATCAAAATCATGGTGTACTTATGTAAGAAAATATATATAATTATTGTTTTCTCCAAGAAAACTTTTTTTTTTAAATTGTGAACACCTTATTTTGAAAAATGGAAGTTACCGCAGACTCGCAGAATTGTTCTCACACTAACTTCCCCGACCTCCAAATCTATTCCCTGTACAGTATTCTGTTTACTCCTGTTTCATACATGTGTATCTCATAGCCAGTTTTATGGTAAGACCTAGGCATTTAGCACTTCACGTCATCGCTCTCTCTGTCTGTTACTCCTGCTCGCTCCGGAGTCCGGAGCATTTACCATAAAGATCAGAATACATGGGCACTTCAAATTTAGGGACGGCTCACTTCACCATGTAAAAGCGAGGAGCGGCTAGCTTGACCGCAGTGTTTTTCATTGGGTAGGGGTGCTTGCATGAGCTTACTGTTGAGGGTGATGCCCAAGAATTCAATTGCGTTTAATGGCCTGTGTGTTTTTTCAGCTGATAGTGGTATGCCTAATAAATGTCCAACTCAAAAATCCACAAAAGGTAAAACACACTGGGAGCAACAAGGGGAAAATCTGACATGCAACATGGACTGACATATGTCAATGATCTGACATGGTAGGGAAGAAACACAGAGGGTGCATCCGAATTGTCCCTCCTATCCGCTTCCACTATCCACTTTACCTTAACCCTGGGGGAAACGTCATGAGGTTAAGGAAAGATGTTGGGAGAATTCATAAAGGTTTTAGGGAAAGGCCATCGTATTGTTTTGATAATCCGACCGCATTTCCACTAGCCAACGCCTCTGTAACAGGTTTATTTTGTCTGTTGTTCCACGAGCATGATGTAGGATTTGTTTATTTTGTATAGTTGGCTCAGTGGCACCCTCGCTCAGGTAGAGTACATACAGTATATTCAATGGGCAACCGTAATGCTTTATCACATGACAGACGTGCCTGCGGTGAGTTTCTGTGCACAGCACTGTGTACAAATATTGTGTATTAATATTGGTATTAACACTTAATGGTCTCATAATCTTATTATATGGCTTTGCATAATATCTTAAGAACCACCTCACAAATCAGTAAACACTGACATGTAGACTTTAATGTGCTTTGAAGTTGCTATGACTGATACGGGCTGTGCATGTGTAATGTGAAAAAATAGTTGATTCCTGAAAGAAATAACTATCAGATAATCAAGGGCCCAACACTACCACACTCAATGAATGGCCAATTACCATCCCGCTGAGAGGTATGTATCCAGATGAGCCAATTATCAACAAACCAAAAAAAAACAACGAATGATCAGAAGGAGGAGGGTGCGACTGGGGAGGCTCATGGCATTGTGTGCACAAATGGTAAGCGAATGCTGATATGGGTTTAGACCATAGATCAGAGCATGCTTAAATTGAATTTACCGTCAAAGCACAACTTAAACTAATGCCACGTATCCAATGTGTTCCTATGTACAATATAGGCATTATGTTTAACTTACACAAGGATAATGCATCATTAGGTTTCTAAATGAAAAGACAGGAACAAACTTACTTGTATGTATTGACACTTTATTTTGTCCTTTACAGGAGAGGAGAAACATTTATGCCACCACCAACCCCCCCATGTCCCCCTTGTTCAGATCTTTTTTGATCAAACACGAGATCTGAACTTTGACTACCGCCTGAGTAGGCCATCGATTGAGGCACTGAGGGCAGTTCATGGAGGTCCTCCTGGTGGTCTACTGGCTGGCACATGGGTCTTCTTGCACTGTTGTCTCCCGGGTCTTCGATGTCCCCAAGTCAACTGTCTTTGACGTTGTGCATCGGATGTGTGACACACTTCTTTCCCACCTGGAAAAAGTTGTCCACTTTCCAACTCTCACACAGTGTGCTGAAGTAAGCAATGGCTTTCAATACCTAGCCAACAGCCCAGCCTTCAGCCGCTGTGTGGAAGCCATTGATGGATGCCACATCCGAATAAGGCTCCCCATGGTCCTCATGCACCAGATTAACTGAACAGGAAACTGTTCCACTCAGTCCAGCTGCAGGCGATTTGTGACAGCACTGGCAAATTTCTGGACATTTGTGGGCTATCCTGGTTCAGTCCACGAAATAGTCCAGTGTTTGTCAGGGGCTGTTACCCACCAGCTGGTTTTTTCATCGTTGGGGATGGGGGACATCTGTGACCCTCATTACCCCATACTGTGAACGAGTGAGGGGAAGAGTGGAGGTGCCCTATAATGCTTACCATGCCAGAGGGCGATGCATTGTAGAGAGGGCCTTCGGCATGAAGGTACAGTGGCGAGGGATCTTCTTCAAAGCCCTAAAAGTGGATCACACCTTTGCTCCGAATGTTGTGGCAGTGTGTGCAATGCTCCATAACATATGTCTCACTGCTGGGACATCTTGGAGCTAGCTGATGAAGAGGATCCTGTGCCTCCACCACCACATGTACAAGGGGATGAGAATGGGGGTCAGCATTTCAGGGACAGGCTGGCAGCACATGCATCAGCCCCAGACCAATGTCCCCCCCGCACTGCAGGATCATGACTATTTTAATTTTTTTTAGGGTAATGCATGGGTTTCTGGTTACATTTTCTATCAATTCTGAAATTAATTTGCACTATTAACACCATAGATAAAAGAATGTTACTGAAAGGGTAGTTGGGGCAGAATGCAGTGACCAAAAGGCCTAATGGAATAGTTACAAGCCATTCAACATGTCCCTGTATTGTCTATGATCTTTGTACAGCACTTTGTAAATAAAAGCATTATTATAAACATTGTGTCTACTCACAATTGCCTCAAATGTTGAAAATTAATCAAATGTGTAATGTTAGATAAGTAATAGGCACATTAAATTTCCGTAAGACTGGGGTAGCCAACGTAAGACTGTTTTGAATGTACAAGGGAATATCCACAAACACTAGCCCACCACAGTGCCCAGCCATATGATTTGCCTTGGCCTACCTTGTATTTGGTTTTCAAATTATCCCATTTTTTTGAGGACTGTATGGCAGTCACCTGCCCCTCTAGCCCAATCTCCTTCACCACCTGCCTGTAAATCAGAATTAGCTTTATTCGCCATACCCATTTATAGTAAAAACATTTTTCATAACGAGTATACTTACTCCCAGCCTAATTTTGCTCTCTTCCCACTGAAGAGTGAATCCGTTTTAACCATTGCCTTAATCAAGGCAAGTGTTTCAGCATCTGTGACCGAAGGAAAGTTTAACATTATTTTCTAACAATTCAAAACCAGACTCTGTTGCAGAGAAAGTCCAGGACACAAAAAGAAGGTTGTAAGAAAACGTTTTTTACTTAACAGTCATACACAAGAAGGCAGTCGAGGGAGAAAAAAATCCAAGAAGGGCAAATCCACAAAATCAAAAATCCAATCAAATGTCAAAACCGGACAAAAACACAAGATATATAAGCCTGGAAAGCATGAAACACTATGGTAACGATTACAATCTGGCAGAGGACTGGTGGAAACACAGGGGTAGAAATACAGGTCAGCCTAATTGGAGATGAGACACAGGTGTGTTGGAACAAAAGGCGAGAAACCAAACAATGGCAGGAAGTCAGACTAGAAATCATACACAAGCAGCAGACAACAAAAATAAAACAGGAAGTGAACATAAAACAAGAAAACAAAATGTTGACTAACAGAATATCACATATTTATGATATTGCTTACGGCTGCCACAACACTCAAAGTGGATATATAACGAATGCAAACTGAGCATAAGCTGCACTAAAAGTTCACTTCACTTAGATCGTTTTACAACATCAGCATAACATTCAGAGTTTGCCTATGGGTTTAAGATTTTTCAAAGTTGTTCAAGGCATATTATTGCAATGATAACTTACATGATCTGCATCCCTTTTCGGCCATCGTTAGTTTTCTAGACGGTCAGATGTGCGAGTGGCATACCTCATCTCCTTTGGTAAAGGATGGTCCAGTGTATCCTATGCTAAAGGAGGTTATAAAGGAAGCATTGACCCACCTTTCCTTAGTTTTTAGAGAATTCGAACGGCTCTTAACATGTCTGCCACTTAAATGGGCCCTTCAGGCAGGCTCAAAACAATCTTCAAAAGAACAGACTCAGAACAGCTTTTCCCCAGTACTTTAGAAACTGTTTATTTATATTTTTAAGGTTGCAGCATTGTACAATTATTTTCAAAAAACAAATGGAAACTTATTTTTCTCTAGTGTAACCCCTGCACATTTCTTAAAGTATCTGTTAATCTATTCTTTATGACTGTCACGGTTTACATAACTATTTACAATATATGTATTGTATGTATGTATATTGTATTGTATGTTTCTCATGACATGACCACCAGGTACCTATTTCACTTATCGTCATTTATGCTGCATTCACAGTGTTCCATATACTCTCTGCTGTCAACAATTTATTTCAAGAACTTAAACATGTCTTCCATGTTGTGAAAGATGAACTTGAATGGCTCCAAGATTTCTTCCCTCTCATCTTCTTCAGCGGTCCCTTGTGTTTCCTCAACCCAGAGTTTGGCAAACTACTTTAAAACCTCTGCAATCACCTCTTTGCCCATCTGCAGGGCGCCAGGCAAGTCCACTGTGGCTGCAAATAAATGTGGGTTTGCTGGAATCCATTCTGCACCTCTTTTGCAATGGTGTACAATCTTTTCCCAGGTCTATGGGAAAAAAAGAGAAAAAAGGGTTATCTGAGTATTGAATATAGCGACACACTGCTTGTTAAAATACCCCATAGAATGGGTATCCCTCTTTGGTAAGAAGTATAGACTGGAAAAAATACTACCTCTTCTCTGCTGCCATCACATCTTTTGTGAACGGCGCTGTTAAGCCTGCACAGCCTCGAGTTGCTCCTCCTCCTTAAGAAAGAAAACAGGCATTTTTATCTTTAAAACATCATCCTTATTACATTCACTGTGCATTATGGGTTAACATAGAAAGAATGTGCACCCCTAATTTTAGTTAAAATTGTTAGTTTTAAAGACTGAATGGAGGAACAAATGATGTGTGGAATGGTCAATAAACTGAGACTGTGATTTGCTTGTTACCCGTTTGGTTGAATTTGCTTGGTTGTAAAATCTCTTTCTAAACTTGTGTTTTTAAAGGTGCTTTATAAGTATGAATATTATCATTATGATCATTATTGGCATATGAGTAAACTAAAAAAACAAACAAATACAACCTAGGAAAAAATGCATTACAAAACTGACCTCAATAAATGTCATCCAACTTCCACTTCCCAAGACGAGACTCTGGTGGAACCTCACCTCGCAGCCCTACAGTTGAGATTGCATATGCATATTTTTATTTCTGAGAACAAATCGAGCAAAAACAAACAAAAAAGTCAGTAACAAATAATAATTAAGTGCACACACATGTTGTTTTTAGGAATCCAAACTCCTATACAAATATTTGCTATCTATATACATGCAGACTTAGACTTTACACGGAATGGTATTTTTTGTTTGGATGTCCAGGTGAATCTGAATCTTGTATCTTTTGACGGTTTATATTTAGGGATTAGTGGGCAGTGATATCGCCTGCAACAAAATGTGCAGTGCTCGACTTTAGGCTTTGCACCACCAGAAAGGACTGAATGATGCATCTACAAAAGAAAGAATAAGAGTTACCACAACTAATGCCCACTTAGTAGACAAACTCCAGATTAAAAATTATTTACTTATGCAGCACAGCAATGTGTTTATGCGGTTTAAATGTGAAAACTGCTAATATTTTCACTGAACGGCTTCATCGACAGTAACACTTTTCATCTTTATGACAAACTTTGAACCCTTTTAGATCACAAATAACTAAACTGTTAAGCAACATCTCTTCACAAAACGTTTAGAAAAGCCAAATACACAGTACTCCCAACAGAAAATACGCTCGCTCTCATTAAAATTAACATAGCTAACGCTAGCCACCTTTCGCGTAACTGCTTTTAAAATGATAAATACGTCGCTCATGCCACATTCAGTTACTTGTTTGATTGAAGTCTACAATTATGTAAATAATACAAAGGTGAACAAATGCAAGTTCCGTTGCATAAATATGTTTTTGACTGTTTTGGATAATAAGGAAGAGTCACCTACCGTTATCTTCAAGAGTCTAATGTCAACACAAAATAGGTCACTTCCGAGCCTGACAGTGGCGGTCTGCAGCCAGACTCCTCTAGATATTTTGGAAAAGGCGGCTTTGCAAGAGGGCCGATCATGTACCCTTTTGCAACCTCTCAGGCTAACAATTTCCCAGCGACGTCTGGTTCTTTCTGTGTGGACTTATGATCGTTACTATGTGTGACACTTTTGGAAGCCAGCATAACTTTGGAAACTTTGGAAACTTTATTCATCTCTTTTTTTGGTGGTAACCGAGCGACTCGGCGTGGACACACTGATCTTGGAAGGCTGTCACTGCAAAAACTGCAGGCATGAATACATTTACATTTCAAATATCTGCATACATTTTCATTGAATTGAATGCGTATTGGAGCCTTAGGAACTTGGTGGTCACCTAGGTACTGTTCCCTGTCGCTGTTTTACTAGGAAGTAGTAAGGGAGCCGAATTGGGCTGGGGAACAGTTTTTGAACACAGGCTAACAGTGCGTGAAAAGGACACACAGTACAGGAAAGGGCGCAATGGACTAGTCCAGTCTTTGGTTGAATTTCTGCATGCCAGAATTTATTTATTTTTTATTTCGAACGATTAAAAATAGATGAAAATGAATAAACAAATGGAAAAATAAAATAAAAAGCCAATTTCAATATAATACACATTTGACTCGTTCGAAAAGGGATAGGAAGAAGCCTAGGCTTGTCAAGTCCTACCCCCATTCTTCACCATTAACAAATGCAAAATCCAATAAAATAAAATAAACGGACAATACAAAAAAAATACTGCAATCGAACTATTAAGAAAAACAGAACAAAACAAAAATAAAATGAACAGACGCCATTAACATCTGTGAGATTTACATTCTCCTTCCTCATTTCTGTACTTTTCAAAGATATATCTTTTGTAAAAAAAATTAAATTGCATTATATTCATACTTTGTTTAATGGTTTCGTCAAGACAAGAACACCCCACAAATGGAAATACACATACTTTTTAAATTGGTCCGAGCATAATGCTGTTTCAAGTTTAGTTTCCCTCTAAAGTTATAACCCCCCTCTCTGTCTTTGAACAGTTTTTGTATGTTTACAGGTAGCAGTTTATTTTTAGCTTTATACATTATTTGTGCAGTCTTAAATTTTACCAGATCCCCAAACTTTAAGGTGTGTAATTTTAAAAACAGTATATTGGTGTGTTCATAATATCCTACATTGTTTACTATACGAATGGTTATTTTTTGTAGTGTGCTTATTGATTGTAAGGTGGTTTTGTAGGTGTTGCCCCATACTTCCACACAGGAATTTAAATATGGTAACACAAGTGAACTATACAGAATATACAGTGCTCTCTCATTCAAAACGTGCCTTTCTTTCCCCATCACTCTATTGTCCATGCTACTTTTGCTCTCACATGTTTTATATGGGGTTTCCAGCAGATTTTGTGATCAAGAATCACACCCAGAAATTTATTTTCATACACTCTTTCTATTTCAACATTATTTATCATTACTTTTACTTCTGTATTTATTTTGTGTTTTTCAAACAGCATAAGTTTGGTTTTGTTTAAATTAATTTTAAATTCAATTAAATTCAATTAAATACTGTGTGTTGCCTGGTTTCAGAGCGGCATCTTGCGGGAGCGGCAGTTATTGCCTCGATCCACCAGCGATCGGAAAATGAGTGGATTAGATGTTCCAGAAGGCGTAGGCGTTTAAGGCTTCTTTTACTCTTGATGATGCACCAGCGAAAGGTGAGCCTTTTTTTTTTGTAGCTAATGCATTCTGTAAAATTCTTTATAGATATTAATTTTATTCTTGTTTAGTAAATTAGATTAGTTTAAACTAATAAATTATCCTTTAATGCATAATTTAATGTTAAGTTAATTTATTGTAATTTAATCATGTCATAGAACAGGTTGTCCTAAATTAATGCAAAAACAAGTATAATATTTTTGAATGCCAGAGCAGCAAAAAGCTTCTTTTTTTTGTTGTAACTTAAGTTTGTACTGAGATTTCACAAAGACATCAAAATAAGAAATAACCTAAATATTAACAGAGAACTTGTCTGCAACATGATTTTGATCAGCCTATATCACCTAAGCGCTGAAATTAGCCTTATTAATGTGTCTAAGTTCATTAAATAACTTTTATTGTTTCATGCCAGGAGGGCAGAGGGCTGTACATGCAACTAAATGCAGCCACCCCCATCATGATGCTGTACAACAATCCAGAGGCCTGTCTCAAGAGGGATTTCCGTGTTACAAGAGCTACTGTGGGTTACCTTTTGCAGTTAATCACTTTACCAAGGGACCACGGTTGGGGCCAGGAGATGGAG